GTTTGTGGTTCCCAAGTTGAAAGTTGCGGACAAGTTGCTGCGGACACACACACACACACACACACAAACACAGACAATCCCGTGACAATATGCGTTTTGTACTGCTATTACACAGCACAAAACGCATAAAAATGGAGGAAAAATAGACCAAATAACTGCGACGATGAGAGTGGTCTTTACAATGCGATTAAATCATCCTAGTGGTAGTCAAAGTACTCTTGCTAATGTTATTATTATTAAGGCACACATTTTTCTAAACTGCCTATTTCATGCTTATTATGCTATCTGATACATGCTCATCACGCCACTACTGATGATTCCCGCTCTTACCCACACGCTGTCTATGGACTGCGTTTACAGCTAAGGGATGAAACATAGTGCGCAACCAAAAATGTCTTCTTACACATGGCGCTTCATCCGAATCTTTGTCTCCTATTCCATCATTTCAACTAAGAGTGAACCTTCATTATGTGCGGCGGCTGCAACTGACTCCTTTTCTACAACATTCTGCTTCTTTTCCAGTTCCGCAGCTTCTTCATCCGTAAGTTCGCGTATTTTCGGCTCATTGAATTCAGCTTCCTGGAAAAAAAAACCAAAAAGTTGGCCAATTGAGTACAGCAATTGGCTGAGACTGTCTGCGCAATAGCTAAAATTGGTAAAAGATATTCGAAATTATATGCTTACTTCTTTAGCTTTTTGAGCGGCTCGTCGCTCTTCCAGTCGCCGTTGCTCTTCCGCTCGTTTCCTTTTCACTTCTTCGGCTGCCTAACCAGAAAAAAAAAAAACCAGTATGAACAATTTAAAAAGTCCAACAACTATTATGAAAAATTATTATTCATTATTATTTATTTGATGCAACAACTGCCAGATATGGCGTATGGGGTAGAACTGCTGTCGCCAGTAGAAAGAAGATTTGACTTTGCCGGTGAAACAGACGGCCCCTCTACGATTCGTTTCGATGATAAACTGATAGGAAGTATATGCCAGGCAGTCAAACTAGCCATCAGCTTGTTTTTAAGCACCTCGGAAAAAGAAGCCGTTGAAAGCCTTGCCAGCGCATGGTTGCTGCTGGCAACTGCTACCACTCAGGTTACTTCCAAGCATTTAGGGACGAATTACGGAGGGCTTTTGACTTTTGACTTTAATACAAAAAAGGTTCGAAACGAGCAATTCTAGCCGTTGAAAAGAAGGAATTTCTGTAACTTGGATATGCCGAATTCAGAGTGGAACAAAAGGCAAAAAATCAAAAGCAGGATAAAGCCATGGTCCAAAAACGGATGTACCTTTTTAGCTGATTTACTGTGCTTGTCGAATGCTTTGAGTACCATATCCTTGGCTGTGTCCAGTCCAGCGCCAGTGTAAAAATCCGTTTTTCGTGATAAGAAACTAAACCAGTTGATAACGAGAAAAGTTTCAATAAATTCAACTGAATAAAAAGCAGAAATACGTCATCCCGGAGGTCATCTCTGAGCAAAAGTATAGATCTGATCATAAGATTAAATGCGCTTAGAAAGCAAATTTTTCGCAGACGAAATCTATACAGCGCTGCGAAACATCTCATTTGTTTAAAGCAATTAGTATTAATATTATAAGTTCGCGGGGGTTGTCTGTGTGTGTGTGTGTGTTTATCTGTGTGTTCGTCTATACCGATTTTTCTTCTCGAGAGACCTACAAAATCTACGGGGCTGAAATTTCGGGAACTTAATCTACATGTATGTACGAGCCCCCATCTCAAAATGGGCGCTCTTACCCGCATGATACGTACAGGCCCGCCAAAGTTTTTTACGAGCAAGATGCTAACTCGGAAACCAGAGAAGCCGGGAAACTGAAATTTTGAGGAGATGTCCCCGCCCGAGAAGGTGTTAATGTTCTCAAGCCCAGGTACCGGATGTGCGTGGTATTCACGTACGGGCCCGCCAAATTTTTATGCGTTTTTTATGCGTTTTTTGCAGCAATGCAATGCGGAAAACGCATATTGACGAGAGGTTGTCTGTGT